TAAGGTTTCCGACAATGAAGGCAACGAGATAAGTGGACATGAGGGGCGAAGTGGTGAATTTCACAGCCTTCTTCGCACCACCCTGGACCTCGGTCTCGGTATCAACATCCATATTGCTCAAACAGGTCATGTTCTTATCTGCGACCAAAGTTACGGTGAACTTGGCCTTGAGAGCAGGCTCGTCGAAACAAGGGAAGGCCCGACGGGCATCCGTCGGCTCCATCTGAGAAGACGCAATGTACTTTGTCTCACCATTCTCCTTGTATGATGACCGGTAGAAACCGGCCATGTTGTCATTGAGAATACCAGTGAAGGTAAGCTTCAACTGGGCATCTGACCCCGCAGCGAGGGCCTGGCCGAACTTGATGGTTGCGGTCTGGTTGTCCTTGTTGAAGGAGATTTCAGGCTTGGAGTCTACCACCGAGCCCTTGGCCGAAATAACTGCGCTGTGGATTTCAATTTCGTTGGAATTGAGGGTGACGAAATCGGTGTCTTCATTCACATCGAGGCTAGACGTAGATGTTAGTGACTTATACAACTATGCACATATGTATCAATGACATACTCGATGGTGACAGATCCCTCATAGGTGAACTTCTCAAAGTCGGGGTCCAGTGTCAAGTCATAATGCTTGGGCTTGACGTTGGTAGGTAGGACCTCACGTCCTTGGACGTTAGTTGACCCGGAGGTGTCCCGGCGTGAGCTACACATTCTGCGGTAGGAACAGTAGCGTTTGGAGGTTTGTGATAGCGGAGAAGGAGAGCGGCGTTGAGTAATTGATCTAGGAACTGAAGCTTGAGGAGAGCGCGCGGAAACAAAGAGGGGGAGGGGAGATCTGGCGGAAAGAAGCGGTGGCTTTGCTTGCTGCAGAAGCACACGCGTGGAGAAGCGGCGCATCAGCTCCACGAACCCGAATACCGGGAGAGAAAGGAAAGAAGAGAGAGAAGGGGAAATAAAAGAGGTATTAGTATTAAATAATTAAATAGAACCAAATGCGAGATCAATTGAACCACGGACTCGATAACAATGGTCAACGAAGAAAAACATGAGATCAGAGTCCGGCAGATGGGAAGGCGGTGAATGTCAGTGGATCTTCTGCTTTTTTGTTCTTTTTTTTTTCTTCTTCTTTTCTTTCTTCAACACGCAATTTCACCCAGTGGATGTCTAATTTCTACATGACAGACAACTGATTGGAAATGGCTTTTATGCTGTTTTATTGCAAGACAATATACCAGCAAGTTTGAGGGGCTCATGACAGTTTCAATCGATTCTCTTGGGTGGGCTACCATAGAAGACTGGAACATACAGCACCGCGGTTCATTACTCTGATGTCACAGCATGACAGGGCAGTTGGTAATGAGGTCCAAGATAATCAATAATGAATGGATCTATTCCGGTATTATCTATTACCTATTACTAGTAGTGTTTGGTGGGAATTTCTTCCCAGTCCCCATGACAAAATCTACCTTTCGAGTACATAAAAGAAGATCCAAAATTAAGCAATCCGATTTTTATCTCACACCCAATATCTCTCTAGGAGTGCACTGCCTCGGCCTGTGGCAGTTTCGTAAAAACACTGCGAGACCATCCATCGGCATCCACGACGGACTCCTTGACGAGCACATACCCGCCAAATCTAGGCAACAACACAGCCCAGATAATGTAGTAGATTCCTCCGGCTGCGAAAAGTGCCAGGGCTACTACACAGTGCAGGTAGTATGGTAGCTGTTCGTACACGTTCTGGCCCTCGCTGGGCGGCACATATGGTGCAATCGCGAGGTACAGGTTTGACAGCATGAAGAAGATGGTGACGGGTAGGGTGGCACGGACTCCAGGCTTCCAGTTCGGGTAATTTTTCTCCTTGGTAAGGTAGATGTGAACGAGGCCAGCGGCAACGAAGAAGTTGACAATTGCAAGGGGGTAAGAGATGAGGCTGGGATAATTGGTTAGTAAGGATCTTGCAGGTGTCTTGGGAAATCACATACTTGACGAGGAAGTTGTATGCATCACCGGGAGGGGGTGCGAGCATAATAATGACCGAAACAATATAGTGCTCAAGCAGACCAGCTGCTGGAGAGTGGAAAGGCCAGTTGCTGGCCCAGACCTTGGAAAAGGGCAAGACACCTTCACGGCCGAGTTCTTGAACAACTGCATTGGTATCATATTAGTACATCGTTCAATCTCTTGAATGTGCAACTGAGAATACATACTTCGTCCTTGTGAGAAGATAACGGATAACACATTGCCAAATGCAGAGAGAGCCACAAAGACCGACATGACTTTTTCGGCTTGTTTGCCAAACATGTTTCTGAAGAACACTGCAGCCACAATACTGCCAGATGAGAGCATCTCTTCTTTCGATACAGCGGCGAAGTAGGCGATGTTGACAAACATATACAAAATGCCAACAGAGATGATAGCAACGGGGGCTGCAATCTTCAAGGTGCGGGCTGGGTTCTTCGTCTCGCTCAGGGCCTATAGATGCAATTAGCAATGTGATCAAGATACACAACTCATATCTTCGTGTCCTCACATAGTTGGCATTCGAGTAGCCAATGAAGGACCAAATAACGTTGTACAACGCCATAACAATTCCGTATCCGCTTCCCTCGGTGCCTTCAAAGGCATTGGTGAAGTTATGCGGCGTCTCAGCCTTTGTGTGGCCACCAAGTGCTACCCAACCAGAAACAATGATGAACACGACGATGATCAACTTGATGATACCAAGCGCATTCTGAAGACGGATACCCCATTTCAGGGCAACGGAGTGGATCAGAAAAGCGGCAGTGAGACAAGCCATGCCAATTCCACGCTGATTCCATCGTCCGACCTCAATGTCTGCTGCGTTGAGAATATATTGACCGAAGACAACACTGTTACTTGCTGCCCATCCGAGTAACACGGCATAGGCGGCAAACATGGCAGTAACCAAGAACTTGGGCTTTGTGTAAACATATTCGAGGTAATTCTTCTCGCCTCCGTTTCTATACAACGACAGGTTAGTCAGACATGCCTTGCCTCTAATACTTTCGTCCTATTAGATGTCGTACCTTGGAATTGCAGTTCCCCATTCTAGATATACTGCTGTCCCAGCCAGAGCAATTACAGTGCCAATAACCCACATAAACAATGACAGACCGACACTACCGGTCAATCCAAGGATAGTACTCGGTGTGGCGAAGATACCCGTACCAATAACCCGATTAAAGATCAAGAGGGCAGCACTAAAAATTCCAATCTGACGACGGTTCTCGGGGGTGGCCTCAAAGACATTTCCTTCGTCTGAAAACGGAACAGGTTAGAAATGGCACTCAACCACCACTCAATATCAAGGAAGAACATACATAATCCCGAAATACCATCTGCTCGGCGGAGGCCATCATCTCCCGCTGGTTTTGTATCAAATACTGGCGACTTAGTAGAAGCCCCAACAACAGGGTCAACCCGTTCAGCCATATTATGTTAGTTTGTAACTGATTCACTGTCCACACGTGGAACTGATCGACGAGTATTTGTATTCAGTTGGTGTTTTGAAAGGCAAATTTAACACGGCTAGCAACGGCGCAAAAATGAGGTGCTAGCACTAAATTTGATGCCATAGGTCATTGCGGCTGGGCAGTGTCTTATACTACCTTGGAAAATGAAATTGCAAGACCACGAGCACCAGATGCAGGCAAAGGTCCCACCAGAGTTTGTGGATTTTTCCCGCAGAACCTGACCCACATGTCTGGAAGAATTCCAGAAGCCTTGGGCAAGGCAACGGGCTACCATCGCACTATCATCGCACCATCGCCTAGCCAGGCCGAATATAATTTCTAACGTTACATTCCAGAGGAGTTGGCAACCCAATTTGACATATGTTTGTCTTGGAAGGGAATAATAACAACACATGATTCATGTCGTCTGCATTAACCATCATGGCGCAATATACAACGTAAGGGAAAATAAAAGAAAAGCGTCGGAGACCGGCCATGCCGTGTGTGGCCAGTGGGCTGCCGAGAATCCATATATCTTGGGGCCGGGCCGTGGTAAAATTACGGTGAACATGGGTCATATAAATTCTTGATTCCGTGAGTTCTTTACTGGGAAATGCAAAGACGTTTGAAGCATGGAGTACAAAAGGGTTTGAGGCAATCGTTTAGGGCACTCCAGCACGTGTCAGGTCAATCAGCTAAAATCACATAAATATCATGATTGAGGGAATATAACGTGCCTAGAAAAAGCCAAGAGGCAAAAACCCGCAAGACTTTAAATGAAAAAAGAAGAAATTTAGAAACTATGACACATAGTCAAGCACGCCATCTTTAGGGTTATTGGCGTTTTGCGTTTGGCAGATCTTTGCCAAGATTAGCCTAAAATAACTCTGATGGAGCACATCTGATACTCGGAATGATACCCTACTCCATATTATATAGCTTCAGTGGATCGTAACAATATACGGAGTAGAGATCAAACATGTAAATGAGTTTCCCCAATTTCTCTATGTACAATACATCTGGCCATATCTGCACCAAATCCAATATTGGAGCATCCTAACGCCATGACCTTGCGTTCCCAATCCAAAAAAAACAACTCAAGTGCCAATCTGTATACCGTGGGTCCCCGGGTCAAACGCCAATCCCAACGAAAAGATAAAAAAGAATAGGCGAGAAAAAAGAGGAATAGACATGACATGACAAGAAATAACATGAATAAGAACTCCCCTGGTCTCGTGCTGTGGGATATATGGCAAAACGTAAACTGGAAAAAATAGACGGACAAACAAATATGAACGAAGAAATTAGTATCTCCGTAGAGATGTAAATGGCAGATGAATGGCAGGAACATGACCCTGGAGCTAGCCAGAGGCTACCTTATATAAAAGGGCGGGGTAAAAAGGGGGTTAATTGTTAGCGTCGTGAGTTAACCTTATACTTGCAAGGCTAAAATCATGACGCTACTGAACTGTAATCTCGCAATACTCCCAATAGATTTGGTCAAAAATTTGGGAAACAAAGTACTCATCTGGGCGGTGTCACCCCCGTGGAATATGCAACAGGAGAAATGGTAGATGTAGGTTTGCCTGCGCTGCCCACTGTCGGAGTCGGCACCGAGGATCGCTTGGATAGAACAGCTACCTTCTTCCGAACAGAGGCGAGGCGGCCACGCATACTAGATACGACTGGATCAATGTGTGAGTTTTCGGTCAGTTTCATGGGTGGATTCAGATAAGACTCACGTTTGACAACGACCTGCCGGTCCTCCGCCTGCAACTCGTCCAGAATGACCTTGTCACCAGGTTGCGAACCGCTTTGCCGTTCAAGATTGCTACCGGGCATCGATCGCATTCCGTCATCCTCAAGCACAGCTTCGAGCATACGGATCGCAGTAACGTATGTGATCTCACAGTTGGCAAGATCTTCGCCGGTCAATTCATTGATGGCAGCCGCCCGGCTCATCTCTAGTGCGCGGTCGTACATCAGCCTCTCTGCCGTGACGCCAGAGCTCACCACTACGTCAGTGGTTGAGCTTGAGCCTACGGTAGAGCCAGTGGAATGGTTATCCGGATGGCTAGGGTGATCTGGTGGCAATCGCCGTTGTCCCTCAATGAGCTTTAGGCGCACAAATTCGGCCTTTTCGATAACTTCATTGAACCGACTGCGCACCCATTGCACAACATAGTTGATCCGGGTACCGGCCACTGCGCTCATGCTGTCTTTGGTAGGAGACTCCCCATAGACCTCTTCCCGATTCTTGCGCGACCACCAAGCTCCAGCGATGTCCATTGACTTTGCAAGTAACGACAAAGCCTTGACGTATAGTACCAAAGCTTCCTCAGACAATGTAACGATGGCATCGACTGTCAGACCGTCATCGGGATCGGCAGAGTTTGGTTCAATGTTTGTGTCCATAGGTCGCGCAGATGGGTCAGTCGGCGCCGAAGGTGCTAGCGGGATTAGCTGCTTATATTTGACCTCAGCAAATCCGAAGACAACATCACTACGCGTAGCACATTCCTCGATTGCCTGGACTGCCTTGCAATCTTCGTCGACAGTTGCGTTGGGTTTGGAGCCGTCTCCAGTGATCAAAAGACTAGCATGTGCAGGGGGATAGGCGGGGAAAGGATTGTAGGCTAGAGGCGGAGATCGCCCACCTTTGGTGATGGCAAGGGGAGGAGAGAAGCCCATTCCGAACAGACGACCGCTGGCCATGTTGAGTGCTTTCGAGATTGCCGAGGTCGCTGACGTAGGACTTTGCCCGTAACGTCGTTCGTAGGAATGCTGACGCTGGTGTACGGAGTCTGCTCGCGAACGACCCGAGACAACCTGCATGGCTTTAGCCGCATTCGCATGCGGAGAAGATGGTGATACCGTAGGTATGCCCTGCGTTGTTGCCCTACGGCTCCCGGCGCCAGTTTGCCCTGGTCGGGAAAGCCCGCCTTGAAGGCGTGGGCTATGAGCCAGTTCATCTGCAAAGGCGTTGACCTCCACGGCCCGCTTCTCAACCACAACATAGTCCCTCTCAAACGCCACTTCTTGTGCAGCGCGGTCCCGTGCTTCCTGGGCACGAGCTGTTGAGTCACTCGATTTAGGAGAGCCAGCGTAGGTATTCCGATTTCTCGGCCGATCCATGGCCGCGGTGGTTGCGTTGCGATCGATGAGCTCCTGGCGTCCTGGAGCAGTGGCAAGGCTGACAGGACCAGGCCTTTGAGGTGGTGTACCTCCCGGTTGGTGCTCCCTAGCAATCCCTGAAGCAGGCCGGTCAGCGCTTCCCACACGGCGCATGTGCGTAGCGGTCGGGGGCGTTCCTGATTTTTGACGCGTTGCAACAGGTCTTTGACCGGGGGGGTATGCAAATTTGTCCTCAGGGCCAGTATCATAAGGGGAATCTTCGGCCTTTGCGACAAGCTGCCTCGGCCGTGGCGATTGTGGTGGCCCTGGGGCATCATCTGCCACCAAGCCAGGAATCGGATCATTTATCACATTGTTGTTGAAGAAGTCGGGGAAGTTCAATCGCTCCACTGGGTTCCGTTTCAGAAGGCCTCGGATCAGCCTTTTGATGTCGTCTGATGCGGGGTTATCTTCAGGGAAGCGGATTCGGTCTTCTCCCTTCTCAATCTTTCGTAGCAACTCAACGTGATTTGTAGCCCGGAACGGGGGTCGGCCCACCACCATCTCATATAGCACAGTACCTACCGACCACAAGTCGGCCTTGGCATCATACTTCTCATACCGAAGAATCTCGGGTGCCATGTACAACGGAGATCCACAAAGGGTCTCTGCAAGTGAAGTGGCTGGTAGAGATCGAGCGAAGCCGAAATCTGCGATTTTAAGCATAGGGAGAGACTCGAGCCCCGTCGTGGGTTCGTAAGAGTCATCACTGCCTTTATAGGGAATCACTTGGGCATTCCCACTCCGATACGACGAAGGTGATGGGCACAGCAAGAGATTCTGTGGTTTGATATCTCGATGGATGAGGTTTCGGTCACGAAGGAATTTCAGTGCGCTTGACAGTTGTTTGAGGAAGTGCCGGGTAACCACCTCATTGAGCGAGGCGCCGGGTGGATTTGGATACTTCGCAATCATATCCCGAGTGTATTTATGTGATCCGAGAGTATCTCGGCGCTTGATGAACAGAGATAGATCCCCCAGCGCACAGTATTCCATTACTAAGTGAATGTGAGATGTTGATTCATGGCAGTCGATCAGGGCCACGATATGTGGGTGCTGAAGGCCCTTGAGGATATCGATCTCGGACGAAAGGTTTTCTTTGAGCTTTTTGTTAAGCTTCGACAAGTTCACGGACTTGATAGCTACATAGGTTTTCGTTTTCTGCGTGATAGGAACTGATTAGCATTCATCACTCGACATGTGAGAGGACAAGACATGACTCACTGTATGGACACCTTGATAGACCGTCGCAAAACTACCTCGCCCGATCTCATCGAGTCGAGTATAGCGACCGATGGACATTTCTGGGCGGGGGGGCTCGCGTGATCTCCTCGAATGTTGAGACGCCATAACGGCGGTGGGCACGCCAATGCCTGTTCTGTCTCTGATGGACTCGCTCTGGGGGCCAAATAAGGATCCAGTCACACCCCAGCAACCACAACTACCTCAGCAGCAGCAATGAAAACGGTCGAGTCGAGAGGCCCATCAGGGGAGCTATGGAAAGGATGACGCTGCCTCCGGGAAGCCTGGAAGGACGAGGAACCGCCGGGAGAATGGGTCTGGGAAGGTACTTAAAAGGGGTGCCGTGGAACGAGACCGGTGAACTCGGGTAGATTATAAGAGATGATGTCGATGTAGATGATGTATTGAAGGAAGCAAACACAAGTTGATCCAAAACACTTAAAGCGGTGAGAGGTGGTGATGCAGAATAGCCAAAATGGCGGGATGAAGATTCGAGTATAATATGGAGAGAACCAAAGATCTAGGGAGGCAAAATGACAGTCCTCATGAAAGAGCAAGATGATGTGATGGTGGAAGCGGGAAGAGGGCCCCAAGACCCAAGGTACTCCACGATTGGGGGGTGTGACCCAACGATAACGAGTGACAAGCAGCGATGATCGCGTAAGGCGGTCAGAAGGGCGGAGATGATCTGGAGTCTCGATAAGATGAAACCGTACAGAGAAATCTAGATAAAAGGGAAAGATGAAAGCGAAATGATAGATGAAAATAAAAGAAAGATCGGAAATTATGAGATATACAGGATACAATCCTATTTAAAGCACCAGAAACATGCGAGAAAGAAGTCCAAATCGCAGTGATCTATGTCATGTGCTTATCGATTAGATAAGGCCGAGATCGGCAAGGCAGATACCGAGATCTCCAGTATCCCTGTTACATACCAGAGACGTGAGTGTGAGGAATAGACGTATTCTGTGGGGTTAGATCAAATATTTAGTGTCGAGACTCTATCAAGGGTCCTCTATATATGTCATCCCCAATACTTCCGCATCTTCCTGTAAATACGTCCAGTTTACAAGGTGGATGACGGATCACAAACACGATGAAACTGTACGGTGACGGAAGCTTATCTGCAGCCTATGACTCCCAGTCATGGCGCATCGGTTGGTCGAATTGAAGGAAAGGGGGGAAGCTAAGGCAAGGCAGATATGCAATAACGCGCCGCTAGTATAGGCATCCAAAAACGATCTCTAGTTGAGTAGTCGAGGTCAATCTATACATCCTCGGGCTATGTACCCCACTATACTATACAAATGCCGCAGGGGAATGATAGGTAGATAATCACACGTAAACCTCCGAACAAAAAGGAAAGAAAAAAAATATGGGGGGAAATAAAAAGCAAACAAGTCGCGCATCTATACACATCAACGTGGCACATCAAACGCCAAGACCCCGCACCAGCAGCCATAGCACCACTGGGACCACGACGTTGTCATTACAGCCAGTGAGGATCGCCTCGGTGGCGCTCGTTCCGGCTGCCGCCAGAACCGCCTTGAGCAAAGTCCAGGCCCAGAAATGAGCGGAGAGAGCTGCGCCTTCCGTTGATTCGACCCCAGACACCGGCCAGCCACCGAGCACCAACCAGGCACGAACCGCGATCAGCCCACAGGTAACAGCTGCGACAAAAGCGATGCTGCCTTCGAGTGATTTGCCGCCACCCCAGAACCACTTCAGGCGACCGTAGCGTCGGCCAACGAGGGATGCAGCGGCGTCGCCCATGCCAACACAAATAACTCCGCTAGCCATGCTAACATCTCGTGATGGAATCTCCCAACCAGCCCAGGGGCCCAGACCAGTCCGAGGAAGATCGGAAAGTGACAACCAAAGGGGTATCGAACATCCAATTAACAAGAAGATGTGTGAGATGATGACCGGGCCACGGTGGTCACGGCCGTCAACATACGGAGCCAGGAAATAGGTGAGTGGGCGCGAAATTGGAGGTAGTTGAGACGCGCGGAACAGATCCAACAGAAGAAAGATCGAGAGAACCAAGGCCAGCGCCATGGCGCAGAAAGCTGGATCCACAAATATAGCAGGAAGGAACATAACCACCATCATGCCGTGGAAAATCTTGCGGCGCGTATCAACTTCGGCAACAGAGCTGAGCTTGATCACAATAGCCAGGCCCGTCAGTAGTACCAACACGCAGTAGCCACTGAGTAGTAGACGGGTGATGGCAGCCCCAAAAGTAACTTGGCGAATATGTTCGATCGATCCGAGAAAGCAGGAAGCACTCAGAATATCTGCATCAGGACGAGGTGGGAGTTCAATCCAGTACTCAAGATTCAACATGAGGACCCAAAAGCGAATCTTTGGGAAATTTCCCAACATGTAGCCTATAGCCCAGCCAAACGGATCCTGGCCTTGCAGTGCGCGCTCTGCCACGTACTTTCGGATAGGTCCAAGGATGATAATCAAGGACAAAACATACACGTAAAAGGCAAACAACCATTTGCGGACCTGCGCCTGGGCTGAAGTGAGCGAGAGGAAGGAGGCCAGACCAGGACCCATCATTTTTTTGCGTCTACCACCAGGGGTAGTGCGTACACGTTCCTCTCGAACAGCTTCATCGAATGTAGATATAGTATGGCGTCGTCGATGCACAGTGCGAGCATGCTGTTCGAAAATCTCTTCCGTCGTGATCTTGTCAACTGCAGATGCCGGCTCTACCGGTGGGTGGGATGAGCGACTTTCCCTCATGGTCTTGGTCTTTCGCGGCCTTGAAAATGAAAACCCATTGGGCCCGTCACTGTCCGACGAAGCATCGTCCGATGGAACGTGCCCTGTTCTACTCAACTTCTCACAAAGTCGATGGTCGATCATATTCAAGAATTTGCGGGGAGATTGCGAGCCATGCGGGGCACGGCGGAATTTCCAGCTGGGGATTCTAGCCAAAGAAACCTCCCAACGCAGTATATGTCGACAAGAAGCAAACAAACACATGCCACCAAGCCATAACAAGGCTTTAAGTATCTCCATCTGGGGAGAGGCCGCAAACAAGTACAAATTGATCAAAGCAGTTGTCAAAAGCTGCAGCTCAGCGGGAAGAATGCTGGTCGTCAACAAAAAGTCTAAAGTGGGTATCAACGCTTGATGCAAAGGGAAAAGAAGTATTAGAGATTCCGCGTCGAGCCCGCGGAGCGTCAAAGGTTTTGGCACTGTATGGTCCAAGGAGAAATGCTCGGCAACGAGAATGGGAATCATAGAAATCATCCAATGGAGGGTATTGAATCCATTGGTCCGGTTCTGGAATGGTATAACAGGCGTTGGTAAAGAGGATAGGCTGAGGATGATATTAGGCATGATAAGTGGCGGGATATGGTTGGACAACGACAACGAAACGAAGATCGGAATAAGGATCGGATAGAGAAGGGGGGCCGGATCGAAGCTCGAAGGTATTGAGAAGTATGTCCGTTTCGTAGACCAGATGCGCCAGATGCGCCAGCTTCGGCCTTGTGATGCACGAACAACGAGCGGATAGGCGGCATAGAGACTCGAGACCACGAGGCCATGAGCAGCAATTTCTGCAAAACAAATTAGCGCATTCCATTTTTCTGGTGGTGATATCAGTTTCACACATACCCTTCCGCCATTCCCAGGCTAAAGAGCGCGCCCCGTCTTGGTACAAGACCACACCACCAACAGACAGCAGAAGCGCAGCCTCCAACAACCGCCGGAGGACCTCCACCCGTCTCTGGCGTCTGAACCTCAATCTCGCCTCAAAGGCCTCTTCCTCGAGTTCCTCTTCCGAGCTCCGCCGCGACGTCCGCAACATAGGCCGCACAAATGACGGCCACGGTTGCAAGCTCGGCAGCCAGTCATCGAGGTCGGCGGGACCAAGTCGTAGGCCTTTTCGAGGACGGAGCGGCGGGGCAGGTAATCCTCTTAGGATACCAGTGCTCTCATCGTCTGCCTCTGTGCCACTATCGCTGGTTGTTCGTGAGGACCTTGAGTAGGAGAGCGGTTGGAGACGGTCGCCGTGTTCGGAGGGGGTGCATGATCCGAGGCGTCGGCTTCTATGGTATGGATGGGGGGAACGATTGAATAATCGGAGGTCTTCGGCGAACGCTTCGATGCTCAGAGGTGTACTGGTGCGAGGCGTCGCTTCTTGTTCTTCTTTCCACGGCGAACTCATGGCGCCATGCTTATGTCGATGCGTACGTCATGTCGCGGTGGGATAGTGATGTTCAGTGCGTGGGGAGGATAAGAGAACCCCCAGGAAGAGAATAGCCAACGATTTAGTCCCGGTTTATGTTCGATATCGAAAATATTGAGAACGTGGCAGAGGGAGAATGACATGTTATCTTTCCTGAATGCGGAAGGGATTTTGCCTATCACATGCGAGCGGACAGTGCGCCGTACATCGATGCACGGGGCTATGACATCGACAATCAGCGATTTCTGATCTCTTAATATTATTTCTTTTGATTTTTGGTCAAATCAAGTGGTTTTATTCTTTGTTAAATAGGTCCTAACTAAGCTGCTGCAGGACCACACCTGCACTCAACCTTCGTCCTTCTCGCCCCCAAATTGATCTGCACGGCACAACCTGTCCTGGCCACAAGGCTTCAGGCACTGAGTGCGTAATGTATAACACAGCCTGAGACAGTGTCGAGTCTCGACAGTGAGCCTCTTTCACTGATCTCAATATTTGTTTCAATGTATCGTCCGACGAGCCCGCGTCGATCTCGATATTGATATACTTGTATTGACTGTCCATAGTGGTGGCAGATGTCCCCCCTTTAATGTCCAGTTTGACCTGCTCACATCGGCCTCCCAGCCCTTGCCATTCAATATCACTTCCTCGTGGCAGTTCATCCACTTGGACAGCCAAGAATGGTGGAATGGATGTGTGAGACTCGACAAGAACAGTAAATTTGGGCAGACTTGGCACAAGGGCATCGGTCAGCTCCTCTGTGCGACGGCCATATTTGATATCCCACGCATCCAGCTGTGGGCCATCGTCATCATCCTCATCTTCATTGTCAGGCAACGCATGCATTCTTTCCCAGAGGCGCCATGCCACTTGCGCCTGAGTATTAGCGTGTTCT